GAGCACTGTTCCCCTACCTCCGTATGCACCTGAGACTTTATTACTTACACACATTAGAAAACTGTCTGGGAAGGTGGTCCAGGGGAAGGCATGGGACTAAACACATTAGTGTTACTAAGTAAGATTTTAAGAAATGAAAGTTATTATGTATCTGCTCTGAGACACTTCTGAGAACTTTGAAAAAAAACTTTCCTCTGCATGGTGAAATCTATAAAAATACTTTTGAAGAATGCTCTTTAACAACCAGCTGGGTTAAAAAAAATAGATGGGTAGATGGTTGTCACTTGGTCTCTAGGATATGAAATAGATTCGCCATGTGCTGTTTCTGGGTTTGATTGGTTTTTCAGGGTGGGATTTTTTTTCACATTAAAAAGTGCAGTATGAATTAAAAATAGTTACCCATGAGTGACAATCAGCCATGCACAGAAGTGGTTGGCCTGGTTGGGTACGGGAAGGGAGAGGGTTTACTTTGGAGCATTAAGTGTTTTTGAGTGTAGTCTTTTCTTTTCTAAACAAAGACTGGGTTGGGAAGAGATCCTCAGGGGAAGACTTGGGAAAAGGGAGCCATGCACTGTTATCTGATATGTAGTCTCTAGTCTCATGTCACATATTTATCTGACATCATTTATTGAGTGCCCATTATTTTCAAGCAAGACAGTATCCCTGGACTTCAGGTTCTGTGACCACAAAAATGGGGGCCAATTGTTTCCCAGGGCTACTGTGTTCCCCACCTGTCCAGAAACAGGCGTCTTTTAGCTGAACCTTCAAATTTCTGTTTCTCTACCCATCACAGAAACACTTTTCCTCAATGCCCCTTTAACCTCACTGGAGTAGCTGCAGTGCTGTGCCTTTATGATAAATCTGAGAAAACGATGCAAATTTCAACCAGTTAGTAATTTAAATACCAAGTAATGGGATAGCTTTGGAACTTAATCATTTACAATACTTTTGTTTTATAAAGGAGTAAATTCTGAATACTAAACAATTAAATTAAAAGAAAATAAAAATACAACTTGTCTTTAAATTGGAATCTCCACCATTACTTTCTTTAAAATGGTATAAAGTGTGACTTTATTGGGCTGCCTTATTTCCTGATAATTTTTGGCTTCTGACTGTTATTTAAAGATCCTGTCCAGATATGCAGCATAAAAGCCACACAATTCCATTTAGATCATTTTGGCAGTTAATACTGTTTTCTCACTTTGTACAGTATAATTTAGCTTAGGGATACCTCTAATTTTGATAAAAATTTCTTCTTAAATATACTTAAATAGTAAAATAATGAGTGAACATTCATTAAGCACCTATCCATGTATCAGACTTGTGTCTTATGTATATTATCCTTTAAGCCTTGCAACAGCCCTATGACAGGGCTAATCATTTCCCTTTTGCAGATGAAGGAAATGAGCCTTAGCGACATCACACTACTGGGTCATGGTCACACGGCTTATTAGTGCTGGAGGTAGAATTTGACTCTGAAGCTTGGGCTTTTCATCACTGGACTCAACTAAAACTACATAATCAGAGGAAGAAATTAAGTGAAGGCATAGAATCCATTCCAAATGTCACATTTATTCATTTTTTCAGCAGATGTGTCTTTGAGAGCTTGTTCTATGCAGATCACTGAGCTAAGTGTTGCAGGTATCCTGGTGAGTTACCCAATTCTGTGTGATTTATACTGTTGAGGTGCATACAAACTAATGGGAGAAGCAAGATAATTAAATAATCACAGTCATGTTTTTTAAGATTGAGAGAAATGCCTAAAGGAAAAAGAACATAGTTTTACAAGAGTCTATAAAGAAAGATTCTGACTTAGGTGGGGGGTTGGAATTTTGAAGACATGCAACTTGATCTGATGTTTGAGAGATAAGAGTCCATTAGTTACAGAGTATGATAGGTGGGGAGCTTTCTTGACAGTGGAAATAGCATGTGCAAAGGCCCTGAGGTAGGAGTAACATAGTGTATTCAAAAACTGAAAGGAACCCTGGCCAGTTTTCTCAGTGGTTAGAGCATCAGCGCATGGACTGAAGGGTCTTGGGTTTGATTCCTGGTCAAGGGCACATACCTGGTCAGGATGCATGAAGGTGATGTAACGTGTCAGTAAAATAACCAGAGATGCACAGCCGAATTGTAAAGGAGCACTTCATTACACTGGCAGGTGGGGGGTGGGGGGTGGGTTACTGCTTCCCCAGATCCTCAGCCCTGATTCTTCTTGCTCACCCGATTTTAAAGACAGAAGCCCCATCCACCTTTTGCCCTCCCCATCAAGGGACCGGTACAATAGTGAGTGTGACAGTGATTACAGAAGTCAAAATTACTATTGTTCACTGGGCTCGTGATTTGCAGTTTCCGATACAACACGTGGGGCAACTATAACCTTAGGCAAAATTCCTTTACTTCTAGGGGTAATTAACCTATTATTGGAAAAATATCGAGGAAGGTCCATTGATGATAAAAATGGAGTCATTTAGTCACCTTAGCCTTGGGGCCCAGGTCACAGGAAGCAGCCAGTGATGTCTCTCTCTCACATTGATGTTTCTCTCTCTTTCTCTCCCTCCTTCCCTTCCACTCTATCTATAAAAAATGAAACAACAGCAACAAAATAAAAACAAAAACTGAAAGGTGGACCCTGTGGTCAGGTGAAGCCAGAGAGGAGAGAGTGACTTAAGAGAGGCTTCTTAGTGTTGTCCTTGCAAGGTTTGGGTTTACCTGACAGCAGGACATGAATAAAAGACTTTAAGCAGAGAATTAACAGTAACAGATTCATAAGGCTTACTCTGACGGCAATGTGGAGAACAAACTGGTGGAGGGAATATGTCATTTTAAAATACTGTCCAATGAATCACAGAAAATGATGGTACAGAGGTCAGAGTGTGGACTCTGGGTCAAGCCTCTGTTTACGGCAGTGGTTCTCACCCCCCCTAATGCCGTGACCCTTTAATACAGTTCCTCATGTTGTGGGGACCCCCAACCATAGAATTATTTTCGTGGCTACTTCATAACTCTAACTTTGCTACTGTTATGAATCGCCGTCAGAAATGTGTTTTCCGATGGCCTTAGGCGACCCCGGTGAAAGGGTCGTTGACCCCCAAAGGGGTGGCGCCCCACAGGTTGGGAACCGCTGGTCTAAGGCCTAGCTCGGCTCAGCTGCAAGGCCATTTGCTCGCTGTGCACCTTCTTTTGGCTCAGGCTCTGCTTATATAACACAGGGACAACGATACAGACCCCAGCCCAGAAGAAAGTGGTTGGGGGATGTAAATGGAAGAGAAATAGTGGTAATCAGCCATCTCCATTTATAGATGAGGGAACTGAGCCTTAGAAAGGTAAAATGAAGCTTTTCATCGTTTTTATTTACCTGGAGGTTGCGGAGTGAGGGTGCGGGGAGTAGCAGGTAAAGGTCTGGAGGAAGAGAACATTCCCCAGACGAAACAAGCAGATGAACAGAAAATCCTGATGAGAGGTCTCCAAGGGGCCAGATCCGGGGATAACCTGGTTGGGGGGACACCGGGTCCGGCAGCTCTATGAGATCAGCTTCAGTTTGCTCACCTCGTTTCTCCTCCAGGGGAACGGAGGTCTGGGGGTATAACAGTTTGGTGTCCGTCCTTCATCTCCTGAGGGACTCGATTAGACCAGGATGTCCTCAGCCTGGTACACATAATGGGCTTCCAGGGGCCCTTTTGTCCCAAATAAATCAGCAGTCAAAAATCTCCTCAGTGCTCTGTGATATCAGAAACTGCATTAGTAATGAGACAAAAATTTTAATCATGTAATTAAAGATTCAAAATTAAAATTACTTATAATACTTTTTTTTTTTTTTTACATAGAAGAGTTTCAAATCAGCCTAGCTCATTGATACTCATTAATTTTCTCCAGGATTTCATGTATTTACCTTCAAAAGGGTGGGGAGAAACAAACTAGTCTTGAACTGTTTTTGTTATGTATGCAAACTTAGTGTTTCACCTTCCTGTGATTTGTGAATGTATTTTTTTTAACATGACAGACTTAGTACAGTGAATTATTCCACTTTAAAATATATGTATATATATTTAATCCTCACCCAAGGATATTTTTCCACTGATATTTTTTTAGAGAGAGTGGGAAGGAGGGAGGGAGGGCGAGAGAGAAACATTGATGTGAGAGGGACACAATAACTGGTTGCCTCCGGCATGACACTGACTGGGGCTGGGGATCAAACCTGCAACACAGTTATATGCTCTTGACTGGAAATCAAACCCAAGACTCTTTGGTCCTCGGACTGACACTGTAACTGCTGAGCCAGACTAACCACAGGTTCACTTAAAAATATTTATTGAGCCCTGGCTGGTTTGGCTCAGTGGTTAGAGTGTCAGCCCACGGACCAGAGAGTCCTGGGTTCAGTTCCCACTAAGCGCACATACCTTGGTTGCAGTTTGTCCCTGGCCCCAGATGGAGTCGTGTGGGTGGCAACCACTGGATTTCTCTGTCTCACATCTATGTTTTTCTCTCTCTCTTCCTCCCTTTCTCCCTCTTGCTTTATCTGGAGATAAATGCAAAAAAAAAAAAAAAAAAAATTATTGAGCATCTACTATGAGTTAGCCACTGTGGTAGGTGATGGAGTGATAGCAATAAATGAAAGAGACATTCATGGAGATGTAACTCTTACATTAATTTGTTCCCAGAAATTTTATTACTTAAGGTATCATTTTGGAAATGTTTATTAAATGAACAATACACTATTTTAAGATAGACCATTAAAGCAAGAATGGATATTTTTGGCTTGACCTTGACCATTTCTATTGAGGCTCTGTTCTCCAGATTAAAGAAAAACCCTTAAATATTTAAGAACATGGTACTCTATAAAGCAGTATGATAACTGGTTAATAAGCCATTCTGTATGTCAAACCAGAAGCAACTGAGACGTACATTTTTGACCTTGGGGCCTCTGCTGAGATTTCATGTGAACAGCAGTTGAATGTCACTGATGCTCCGTTTACCCAAACCGTTGCCATTGTGTGTTTCAGGGCCGGCTCGATTCTCTAACGGAAGTGGACGACTCAGGACAGCTGACTATCAAATGCTCTCAGAATTACTTGTCTCTGGACTGTGGTATTACTGCGTTTGAACTGTCTGACTACAGTCCAAGTGAGGACTTGCTCGGCGGCCTGGGGGACATGACCTCTGGCCAAGTCAAAGCCACATCCTTCGACTCTTGGAGCTACAGCGAGATGGAAAAGGAGTTCCCCGAGCTCATCCGAAGCGTCGGGTTACTGGCGGTGGCTGCTGACCCCGGCCCTGCCAACGGGGGCGAAGCGGTCAGTGAGGCGGCGTCTCAGGTGTGTGTTTCGGCAGATGACCAAGGTGGGTGCGAGCAAAAGAACGCTTCCACAGTCGGGGGGCCACCGGGCGTCATGCAGGGGGCGTCAGCTTCCGCGGAGGCTCGGACGAAGACGGTGCAGCCCTCCCCGGGGCCTGCGAAGCAAGAAGCCAACCCCTCCTCCCGACTGGGGGCGAAGGACCCACAGCCTCTCCCTTGTGAACATGCAACCCCCAAGCGATCCATCAGAGACTGCTCCAATTACAACGAGGACTCCCCCACACAACCCACGCTGCCGAAAAGAGGGCTCTTCCTTAAAGAGGCAACGTTTAAGGACCGTCTGAAAGGCACTGACGGAAAGAAGCAGATGGCTGCCCTCAAGCCCGAGATGAGCAGAAGCACCCCTTCCCTGGCGGAGCCCCGGGACAGGTCCAAGCTCTGCCTGGCGCTGCAGGCGTCCTACCCCAACGCGCCGTCTGCCGCCAGCCAGTCCTACGAGTGTCTGCACCAGATGGGGGTTGAGAATCTTGAAAATACCGTCAACAGTCACATTAAAGAAATCTCCTCCAGCCTGGGAAGGCTTAATGATTGCCATAAAGAGAAAGCTCGACTTAAGAAGCCCCCCAAGACCCCAGAAGAGGTGCCTCCGTGCCCAAATCCTAAAGATGGAACCGATTCGGGCAAGCACCCCGAAAACACAGGGCGCTCCGGAGTGCCGAATGGAGCTCCTCCTCGTGCGCCCGAGGCCACCGCGGGGCCAGAAACAGATTCTGCTCCTACACCCTCCCCCGAGCCGGGTCATCGGAGAGGTAGCAATGCCAAGTTCCCAGAGCAGTCGGAAACTTCCAGCTCACCGCCTTTTACTCAAAGCAGTGGCTCCCCAGTTGGCTCAGACAGTATCCTGCCCCCGGTACCTCTTCTTTCAAAACACGAAAGCAAAGAAGGTCGCTCCTCCTCCCCCAGTCACGTCACAAGGAACGGCCAGGTGGTGGAGGCCTGGTATGGCTCCGACGAATACCTGGCACTGCCCTCCCACCTGAAGCAGACAGAAGTGTTAGCTTTGAAACTGGAAAACTTAACGAAGCTTCTGCCCCCGAAACCCCGAGGAGAAACCATTCAGAATATTGATGACTGGGAACTGTCCGAAATGAATTCAGATTCCGAGATCTATCCAACATACCATGTCAAGAAGAAGCATGCGAGGCTAGGCAGGGTGTCTCCAAGCTCATCCAGCGACATAGCGTCTTCGCTGGGGGAGAGCATTGAATCTGGGCCCCTGAGCGACATCCTGTCCGACGAGGAGCTGTGTATGCCTCTCTCTGGCATGAAAAAATACATCGATGAGAAGTCGGAGAGAGCTTCCTCTTCTGAGAAAAACGAGAGCCATTCCGCCACGAAATCTGCTTTAATTCAGAAACTTATGCAGGATATTCAACACCAAGACAACTATGAAGCCATATGGGAAAAAATAGAGGTAAGCTGGTCTAATTCATCTGAGTGATTTCTTATCCTACCTGATTTTTGGAAGTAATGCTGGGGAAAGTCCAACTCCCTGTCACCCTTTATAAAGTGTGTTGCTATTTTTGGTAAACATAACTGATTCCCCAAAGAAAAGAAAAAGCACAGTGCTCACTGCATCATGACAGAGTATTTGTCATTAGGAATGGCCCTTGTCATTTCGTTAGCTTCATGGACCCCACCTGGTGTAGAATTCTTTGTTGATATTGCTCAAACCTGACATGGCCCCTGATGAATGGTGGGCCCCCTGGATGAAATACAAAATACAGTAGAATGGTAGCTGTGTGCACACCAGTATCCCAGGAATATGTGAATAGAATATTCCAGTTACCCTTAGTGCTTTTCTTATTGGTTTGTTCTAACCCCAGAATAACTTCCATACCTCCAATGTTAACTTCCTATAGAAATAGACCAGATTTTTTAATTTGGGGGGAAACTTTGTTTTTCTTCCATCTTCCTCCTCTTTGAGGCCCCTGGCTAATAGCCGTGCTATGTATACTCTGTACCATCCATGGGCTCTGAGATGGGGAGTTGATAGTTTGGGTAAATCTGGACTTTAGAATGAATTATTAGATGTGGTAAAATCTTCGAGGGCAGAAATCAGAATTTTCAGGACCGAGCTTCATAGTATAAGCTGTGATTTAAGACACTAGATAAAAGTATCCTGTAGTCTCCCTTATCCACAGGGGATACTTTCTAAGACCCCCAGTGGATACATGAGACCACAGATAGTACCAAACCTATATACAGTGGACTCTTGGTTCTTGAATTTAATTTGTTCCAGAAGGCTGTTTGAGAAGTGATTTGTTTGAAAACCAACTCATTTTTTTCCCAGTAGAAATAATGTAGATTGAAGTAATCTGTTCCAGACCCACAAATGATCCCCTGTTTTAACCTTTCTTACATTCAGTACATGTCTCATGCACTGTTTAATCTATAAATAAACACTTATTTTCTTAAATTTATGGAACCACCCCCTACTGGCCTGAAACTAACCACTTCCAGCATGGTGCCAGGGCGTCTTCCAGGGGCTCAGCACGCAGCGTCTTCACTTCTTCATGTATCATTGCCTCCGAAATGCTGTCACCGGCTGACTGCTGTTCCTTTATCCACGTCAACAGTTTTTCTACCTCTTCGATGGCCTGAGATTGTGGTTTTGTGAGCACTTTCACACCCTTAGCAAAATTAGCACTCTTGATGGCCTCTTTGTGCTTTAAAATTGTGCTAATCGTCAATTTCTCCAGCAACAAAATCAATATCTCCTTTGCTGGTTGCCTGAGGGATGCTTTTCATCACGTCAGGTTGGAAACCCAAGTTTTGTTCAACAACTGAGACATTTTTTCCATGAACTTGGTTGAAAACCAACTTGTTCGAGATGGAGGAACCGAGGTTTAACCAGACTACATTTTTCCTATGTGTACATACCCATGATAAAGTTTAATTGGCAAGTTAGGCACAATAAGGTATTAACAATAACTAATAACAGAAGAGAACAATTATGTTAGTATTCTGTACTAAAAGTTATGTAAATGTGGTCTCTGCCTCTCTCAAAATATCTCATTGTTACCATCTCTTCCTTGCAGTAAAGGGCTTAGTGTCACTCATTTTAGGGGACCCCTTGCTGACGGTATAGGCTCAACGCTTTCTGGTGACACACACTGCTGTCAGTTGGAGCATGTTTTCTGTGCATGTCTTCCACCCACAGATCCCATATGTTTCCCTCGTAACCACGCGCTCCGCGTGCATGGGAGCCCTGACTGTGCAGTCCGAGGTGCGACAGCAAGACTAGCACAGGTTCTGTTTTCCTTCCTCCCAGTCTTGTGGATAGAAGATCTGTTCTTACCGTAGAGCCTAGTAACCCAGCATCTGATTTTTTCCCTTCTACTGTTAAGTAGAGAACTTTTACCCTTTTCTCTCAGGAAAGAACTTTAGGGCTTCTCTTCGGCATGTCTGGATTGCCAACATCACTGCTCTTGTGCTCTGGAGCCATGATTGCGTGAAGTAGGGGCCCCTGTGATGCTACGGCAGCCAGTGTGATAGCAGACAGCTGCTGGGGGCTGGCGGGTGAGCAGTGTACCAGTGTGATAGCAGACAGCTGCTGGGGGCTGGCGGGTGAGCAGTGTACCAGTGTGATAGCAGACAGCTGCTGGGGGCTGGCGGGTAAGCAGTGTACCAGTGTGGTAGCAGACAGTTGCTGGGGGCTGGCGGGTGAGCAGTGTACCAGTGTGATAGCAGACAGCTGCTGGGGGCTGGCGGGTGAGCAGTGTACCAGTGTGATAGCAGACAGCTGTGGGGGCTGACGGGTGAGCAGTGTGCCAGTGTGGTAGCAGACAGCTGCTGGGGGCTGGCGGGTGAGCAGTGTGCCAGTATGATAGCAGACAGCTGCTGGGGGCTGGTGGGTGAGCAGTGTACCAGTGTGATAGCAGACAGCTGTGGGGGCTGATGGGTGAGCAGTGTACCAGTGTGGTAGCAGACAGCTGCTGGGGGCTGGTGGGTGAGCAGTGTACCAGTGTGATAGCAGACAGCTGCTGGGGGCTGGCGGGTGAGCAGTGTACCAGTATGATAGCAGACAGCTGCTGGGGGCTGGTGGGTGAGCAGTGTACCAGTGTGATAGCAGACAGCTGTGGGGGCTGATGGGTGAGCAGTGTGCCAGTGTGGTAGCAGACAGCTGCTGGGGGCTGGCGGGTGAGCAGTGTACCAGTGTGGTAGCAGACAGCTGCTGGGGGCTGGCGGGTGAGCAGTGTACCAGTGTGATAGCAGACAGCTGTGGGGGCTGGCGGGTGAGCAGTGTACCAGTGTGGTAGCAGACAGCTGCTGGGGGCTGGCGGGTGAGCAGTGTACCAGTGTGGTAGCAGACAGCTGCTGGGGGCTGGCGGGTGAGCAGTGTACCAGTGTGGTAGCAGACAGCTGCTGGGGGCTGGCGGGTGAGCAGTGTACCAGTGTGATAGCAGACAGCTGTGGGGGCTGATGGGTGAACAGTGTGCCAGTGTGGTAGCAGACAGCTGCTGGGGGCTGGCGGGTGAGCAGTGTACCAGTGTGGTAGCAGACAGCTGCTGGGGGCTGGCGGGTGAGCAGTGTACCAGTGTGGTAGCAGACAGCTGCTGGGGGCTGGCGGGTGAGCAGTGTACCAGTGTGGTAGCAGACAGCTGCTGGGGGCTGGCGGGGCTGGCGGGTGAGCAGTGTACCAGTGTGGACACACCGAACACAGGGATGATTCACACCCTGGGCAGGATGGAGTGAGATTTCATAATGCTACTCAGAATGTGTGCCATTTAAAACTTACGAATTGCTTATTTCTGGACATTTCCATGTACTATTTTTGGACTACAGTTGACTGTGGATAACTGAAACCATGGGAAATGAAACCATGGACATTGGGACTACTGTAGTACATATGTACAGAATAACCTGTAGGAAGAAAATGAAGGTATATAAAAAAGGAGGGAAAAAAGTGAACGGCAATATATAATAAATAATCACACATTAATAATTGTTTTTACTAAGTATGTATTTGTCAAGTCCTCCCAACCACCCTAATATTAGCACCATTTCGTGGATGAGGAGCCTGAGGCCGAGAGGTCAGGCGTCTGCCCTGGGGCCCAGGCCGTAATGAAGTGCTCCCAGGCCTCTGTGTAAGGGCGCGATCGGCACGCACTGCATGTAAACACTGTAGTATCGTAGAGAAGGAACGTCCGTGGGGCTGGGAAGTCCTTGTGAGATGCTGAGCCCTCAGTGGGGCTTTGGACGACGTGCCGGAAGTTAGAGAGAAGGACGGTGGGTGTTGCCAGCAGGAGGAGCAGAAACTGAAACACAGAGGCAGGAACTGGGCATGAGCATAACAGGGGGGACACAGAGAGCTGTCCCACGGGAAGGTCTGCGATCAGAAAGCAGTGAACGTCCCCATACATCGAACAGACCCGGTTGCTGCAAGGCCCTGACGGCCAGAGGTCATTAGAATTTGTTCACTGGGTGAGTATCCAAGGCAATCTCTTTGAAAGGCACTGAGCGTAGAACATATCCCACAATAACTAATGCTTCTTGGGCTCTTATTTTGTGCTTGGATCTGCGCCAAGAGCTTTATATGCCACATTCTACTTAAGCCCTGGGAGGGAGGAATTTTTCAGAAGCAGCAGCTAAGGCAGAACATAGTTAGGAAACTTGCTGACGGCCTCACAGCTAGTCAGTGCAGAGTCAGGATTTGAACCCAGAGCCAGCATACTGAAAGCAGTGTAGGCCATGGCCTTCCGTAGCCTTTCTGGTAGGCTTACCTGCCAATAACAGGAAAGATGGGCAAAGCAGCTGTGGTGGTGACCGCTCCAGAGATGTCGGCCTGTGGCAGCCAGACTGAGGGACCGCTGTCATGTGCATGGGCGAGGGGGCAGGACTGCCGAAGACGTAAACGGGTTCCAGGAGGCTGGCTCTGGGCCTTGCTCAGTCACTCAAGCCAGAGTGGCCCGCAGCTGGTTATGCTCCATTCTGGGCCTCATTTCTTCTTTTGTACATAGAGATGTTTTAAGCAGATACTGGCCACAATACCAGCTCCCAGTGACGGCATCCTTTTATTTCATAATTCTACAAAGATGACGTCTTCAGCCTGTAGGACTGGTATATCTTTAACAGATGGGAACGTTTGGATGGGTAGCTGGCTTGAGGCGGAGGTAATTTTTTTTTAAAAGTATGCAACGAGCCCTGGCCGGTTTGGCTCAGTGGTTAGAGTGTCGGCCTGCGGTCCAGAGAGACCCGGGTTCGGTTCCCGCTAAGGGCACGTACCTCGGTTGCAGTTTGTCCCCGGCCCTGGTTGGTCGTGCGGGTGGCAGCCACTCGATGTGTCCCTTTCACATTGATGTTTCTCTCTCTCTCTCTTCCTCTCTCTCCCACTCTATCTGAACAAAAAATGGAAAAATGTCCTCAGGTGAGGATGAAAAAATAATAAAAATAAATAAATAAATAAAAAGT